TGATCCTTTCGTGTGGATATCTGAACTCAAGTCATTTGTTTTATTAAATAGAACTGGGTTTTCGAAAATTCTAAAAAAATATGACAAGATAACCAGCGGTAATCTTAAATCTTCATATTTAAATAATGTGGTAAATGATGCATATGTGTTTAAGGATTCAACATTTAAAAACCTGGAAGAACGAATTCTAAAAGTTCAAGAAATTTATGCCAACATATGTACTAACGCAAATATGGATGCAGCTATGCGTGAGCTTAAAACACATTTGAGGGAATTTATAGTTTGGGAAAGAAATACTGTCTGGAGAGATATAATTGGTCTAGAAAGAAAATCTCAAGCTGTAGGCATAAAAGCTCCCGTATCAATAGATCAGTCAACTGAAGATAAAGCGAAGATCAAAATGCCTTTTGGTGGGATTACTATTTCAACTACTTTTTGGAAAAAATCTTTGATATTGTCATTTTGTATCATAGCATTTTTATTCTTATTGAATATAAATTTATTTCCGAAATCGGAACAACAGAATTGCTTTGCTTTATTAATATTTGTTTGTCTTCTTTGGTCTACAGAGGTAAGATTGATTGTATATTTTAAAAATTAGATTTATATATATTTAATTAATCCAAATTACATTTTTATATAATAGGTTATGCCTCTTTTTGTCACATCGCTTTTAGTTCCATTGTTAGTCGTATGTTTACGTGTACTACCCTCAGATGTACTATCTTCAGAGATACTATCTCCACATATACTATTTTCAACTGAAAAAGTTCCAATCGCAACTAAAGCAGCACACCATATTTTTTCTGCAATGTTTTCACCAGTTATAATGTTACTTTTAGGTGGCTTTGCAATTGCTGCTGCATTAAGTAAATATCATATTGCAAAAGTGATGGCTACGTTTTTGTTGTCAAAGGCTGGAACACGACCAAGCATGGTTCTTCTTGTTAATATGTTTGTTGCGACATTCTTGAGCATGTGGATAAGTAATGTTGCTGCACCAGTTTTGTGCCTTTCATTAATTCAGGTATATTTTATTTTATTTTATTTTATTTATTTATTTATTACAAACTCGTTCAAGGAGTAACCAACCAACCGGTTCATTTTTTATTAAATATTAGCCAATTCTTCGAAATTTACCTCAAAACAGTTCATTTGGTCGATGTTTAATTTTAGGCATTGCTCTGGCATCCAATGTTGGTGGTATGGCATCTCCAATATCATCACCACAAAATATAATAGCAATTGAATATATTAATCCTTCTCCAACATGGGGTCAATGGTTCATAGTAGCTATTCCTCTATGTATAATTATAAACATTTTAGTTTGGCTTGTGTTACTTTTTAATTATAAACCATCTTCTGATAATTCATTAATTATTCATCCAATAAGATTAACAAAAGATCCATGGTCAGGAACTCAAATATTTGTAATGGTAGTCACTGGTATAACTATTGCATTATGGTGTACCGAAAAAACTTTCAAATCCTTTGAAAACTTTTTTGGAGATATGGGAATTATAGCAGTTATACCGTTAGTTGCATTTTTTGGTACTGGAATTTTAACAAAAGAAGATTTTAACAATTTTTTATGGACTGTAATTGTACTTGCAATGGGTGGTATAGCTCTTGGGGCTGCTGTGCGTGATTCGGGGTTGTTAAAAACCATTGCTGAATCCGTTCAATTACTATCTAATGGTTTAAATGTATGGCAAGCTTTGGCATTGTTTAGCTCATTGGTTTTGGTTGTGGCCACATTTATTAGTCATACTGTTGGTGCGTTAATTATTTTGCCTATTGTGGCCGAGGTTGGATTGCATTTAAGTGACCCACATCCAAATTTACTTGTTATGGTTTGTATTGTTTAATACGCTTTAATTTATATCCTTTAAGTTTTACTAATCATTTATTTTTAAATATAGGGATCTGCACTAATTTGTTCTGTAGCAATGGGATTACCAGTATCCGGTTTTCCAAATATGAATGCTATAATGATGGAAGATGAGATGGGTGTACGGTATCTTAATACCCTGGATTTTATAAAATCTGGTATACCGGGGTCGGTGTTAGGTTGGATGTCCATAGTTACAATTGGTTATTTCTTAATGCTGCTTATTCGTTTTTAACTAAAATGTAAGATTATCTATAGCATGAATTACTAGAATATTTATTTATTAAATAAAGGGATTATTTTTAATCGATTTAAACTTTGATTTATACTAGTTTACACATACCGATATTATACTAAATTTGCATTAAGTCGATTTATGCTATTGTACCCTCATAGGCAGAAGTTTGTCTGATTGGCTAATAAATTCAATTTAATTTTACATTATTTATACAGTTTATTAGAGTACTTTTTAAAAAAACGAAAACTAATCATAATGAAATAAAAAAAAAACTGTATAAAAGGTTTCATTAGAGCTGTAGCCAAAAATAAGATCTAATTCTCATCCGTTAGTATAGTAATAACTTCTCAAAACCCGATAAAAACAACTTATTTATAAGCTAATTTTTTTAAATGGACGAGAATTAGATCTTATTTTTGACTATGGAGTCCTACAACTCTAATGAAACATCCTATATAGTTTTTTTTTTTTTTACTTTATTATGGTAGGTTTTCGTTTTTTTTTTTAAATAATAAGTACTCTATACACTATAACTAATGTAAAAGTAAATTGAATTTATTAGCCAATCAGACGAACTTCTGTCTATGAATTGTACCCAAGATTACCACCTGTCTAGAGCGCCCGAAGTTACATCTGTGCAGTAATTTGAGGTGCTACCTCAGGCGCCTGAAGGCATCCAAACTTCAAAAAATTACTAAATATACATTATTACAGTAGCTTCGCGTAATAACGCCCGTCTGCGCGTTATTTTGAGTATATACGTGTTATTTAGAGTGCGCGCATAAGCGTTATTTTAAGACAACAATAAAATTTCTCTTAAACCTGATTTTCAAAATAAATCGATTTTTAAATCTCTTCTTACCTAGGGTTCGGGGCACGGGAAAAAAATTGGGCATGCCCATATGGGCATGCCCCTGAGCTAAGGCATGCCCCTCATGCC